ATCTTGGGTGCAAGGTCATCAATGTTTGGGCTCAGGCTCTGAGCTGAGGAGACCCTCAGGATGGAGTGAAGGTGTGCGTGGAATATACCGGAGGGCCAGATCTAATAGTAATTAGAAATTATCCTGCGGGCCGAAATTAAATCCACCAAGGGCCTGATTTGGCCCCCGGGCCTTGAGTTTGACACATGTGATATACGTTATGAAGGCTTATAGAATACTTTAATTTCCAGATAACGTGAAGATTGTTTTATCATAAAAATAATAACTTCTATCTTCTTCTCTATTTTAAAATTAAATAATAATTGAATTGCAGATGACCATAAAGGTTTTACCTTATGATCTCGTTTGATATATTTTAAAAATATATTCATACCTTCTTTTTTCTGTGGAATATTTATGTTGTATTAATATTTATTTTTTATATATTTGATTAGGTACTTGACCGACTACGACCTTTACTCATGATTAGTGGACCTTTATCACAATCATTTGTTGTCCTTGTAATTTATTGCCTTGTCTCTAAAACTACAATGTCATCAGAGCCAAATTATACTTTGACCATTATTGATTTATTACACCGTTTGAAAGGCCTACATATTTTCTGGTTAATATTTGATATAAAGGGCAGGGACTGTATCTATCTGGCAACTGGCACGTATACAGTATGTTTAACAAGGGAGGAAGTCTAAGGTATTCAAACACCACTATCACTAGCTTTATGTGAACATCTCAATTAAGTAAATAAATAAATAGTTAATTAATACATAAATAAGTAAATACATAAGAAAGTAAGTAAGTACATAAATAATTAAATAAATAAATAACATTTTTGACTTTAATCTCAGAATTCTGAAAAACAGTCAGAATTCTGTCTTTTCTCTCACAATTTGATTTCACTTTTGGTCACATCCCAAACATTTTTTCTCATGTGGCCCTAACCCCTCGATTCCACCGGGTCCGTCTGCGTCGCGTCACGGCTGCACCGCGGTTTTGGTCCGGCCTCCTCCGGCGTCAGACCCTACCGGGCGCGTTTCAGAAGCATTTCAGAAGCATTTCAGAAGCGGAGCGTCTCTTCTGCCGGCTCGCAGTTTTAGTTGATTTGGGCATATTTCCTGGACAGACTACTTTGTACAGACTAAGTTAATAATAATTGTAATATTCCAGTTATAAACGACATGAATCAAAGATGTGTTGCTGCATTTTATACAAAAATTCATTCATCATCATCAGAATTATTCTATATATTTACACAGTGCCCGTAAACCGGGGGAGAACGCTGGCATTTCTCCTCCTACTTGAAGGTATACGGAGGGATAGGGTCTGCAAAATGAGTTTGTGTGTGTGTATATATATAGGCCTACATACATATATATGCTATATATGCTCTGAACATTCCACTTCCTGCCTGCCCGACTTACGGCTGCGTCGCGTCGAAAAATAGACTTCAATCCTATTTCCAGCGGAGCCCAGCGGCGAGACGCTTCTGAGCCGTAACGCGGCGCGTCTGGTGGAATAGCACCCATTGACTAGAGTGGCCGCGATCCTTGCGGACGCCGCGGCGCAGCCGTAACGCGACGCAGACGGACCCGGTGGAAACTAGGGGTAAGTCATACGGCGTGTCTTGGGTACATTTTCTCATCCAGAATTCACAGTGCAGTCTCTATTGTGCGGTTCATACATTGTTTGCCTTCAACTCATCGTGAGCACCTGTCACCTGTCGTCTATTAAAACAATAATAAATATAAATAATAAAACATTCATAATATTTCCTTAAAAATAGAAAAATGGCTTCAACAGGTGTGTTTTAGTGTTGATTATCATACTTTAGACCAGAGGCCTGTACTACAAAGCTGGTTCAACCTAACCTGGATATGTTTGAGTTAGCCGGTTGGCCTAATACAAAACATAC